TTGACCAACCAATATTTCCAATTTTACCTCCTGAAAGAAGTACACTTAAATTTAAGGCGTGGGAGAAAACTCAACGGGTACCCTTCATAATTTATACTACTTAAAAATTGAGCTGACAATAACAGCATGTATAGGTGTACCACAGGACTATTGACCACTAATTAATAAAACAAAAATAAATTTAGTCTCCGCAAGAAATAGGTACGATGATGGTATATAGATTTTCTGAATTTACTATCGCTGTTTATAATAATGTGGAATATCAAATTATTTACAAAATTGAAATTGATTGACTATAACGACTTAACGACATTTAGCTAAYAGCAACATTTGTTTTAAATCAAATGTATAAAGGCGATAGTTAATTTGTTGACGAATCACAAACCGCAATATGTATGTACTACGAATTTCCTAAATGTAACCAAAATAAAAGGCATATTATTTATATCACAATTTAAGTTTATCGATGATAAAAACAGTTTTATACTTTATACAAATATTTGGATGACGCATACCGAAAACACTTAAAAGTGGATTATTCAAGACGGCTTTATATTATTATTATCGTCACATAATTATAATATATGACAAAGGGAGGTTCATTATGCTAGTGTGAAAAAGAGGACAGTGTGATACAACCGTCGAGAGATTCGYGGTGCTAGCTCTAGAACCGAGGGTGATGAACAGCAGCCGTCGTGGCGCCCTTGCACACTTGGCTCCCCTTCGATCCACGTCGATCTACGCGTGACCATGACGAATCGCCGGGTGATGGTTACCGCGACGTTGGTTAGACGTCCGGCCACCCGATGGCGCTGCTCGGCACGTATTTCACACGGTACCAACGCTGCCGTCACCGCTGGTGTAGTGTCGCTACCGACAGACGTATTTTTCCTCCGTGCGCCAGTCGACCGTCGGACATCGTTTGGATTACGTGTGGCCGTGTGCGATTGTCGTTTCGTCGTCTTAATCGTCAGCTCRCGCAACGTTTGTTTAGCTTAATCAAGTGGATGTTTTTTTTCTGTTCACCTTTGTCCGCGGTGTTTTAACAGTATTTTTGTATTTTAATATTAATTTTTAAACCGTGTACGAAAAATAGGATTCGACGTCTGGCCGTGCGTGAGTACAATATTAATAACATAATTAACGCTATCGAACAGAAGTGAAGTGCACGTATACCGTTGTCGTTTTTTTAAAATCTCAAACTGTTCGTCGTGGTAAATCATTTCGTCTCACTTTCGCGCGCGTTTCGATGCGCGTGGCGGCGGTGGCGGTGATCGGTCGACCGGGAGTTACTCGTGCAGCCGGCGTCGTGACGACGTCGGTGCCGTCACAACCGTCGTCCAGCGGCCACGCTCGGGCGACGGGCCACGCCGCGTGATGGCCCGTCGGTGGCAGCTGTGGCTGGTGGCCACGGTGCTGGCGGTCGCCGGCGCTACTCCGATCCGGGCCGACGCTTGCCCAGACGCATGCCAGTGCAAGTGGAAAGGTGGCAAGCAGAGTGTCGAATGCCGCGACAAGTCGCTGATCACGGTCCCGACGGGCATTGATACTGCAACGCAGGTGTTGGACGTGTCCGGCAACAACCTGCAAATACTTCCGGGAAGCGCGTTTGCCCGTCTTGGGCTGCTCAACCTGCAACGCGTATACATGTCCCGGTGCCGGATAGGGCAGATCGACAGCCGAGCGCTCCGGGGTTTGACCAAYGYAGTGGAGATCGATCTTTCYCGGAACATGCTGACCGCGGTTCCAACTTCCACGTTGGCCGACGTTCCGCTTCTCCGAGACCTGTCGCTAGCCGGAAACCCTATACAGCGCGTAGGGCCGGAAGCGTTCCAGAAGTGTACCGGACTCGTCCGGTTGGACCTGTCTGGTTGTGAGCTGCACGAGATCGCAGCAAGTGCGTTCGTGGGCATCGACCGGTTGGAGACGCTCAAGTTGAACAACAACCGGTTGACTGAGCTGATGGCCGGCACTGTGGCCACGCTCCACAAGGTGCACGGCGTTGAGCTCCACGAGAACCCGTGGCACTGTGATTGTCGCATGCGGCCGGTCAAGGTTTGGCTGACTGATAACAATGTGCCGACGGCCGTTGACCCGGCGTGCGCTACCGGCCCGGGCCGCGTGGCCAACCGAACGTTCTCTGCGCTGGCCGCTGACGATTTTGCGTGTCAGCCCGACATCTTGCGGCAAGACGACCAAACCGTTCAGGCGGCCACCGGTGACAACGCGTCCGTCTCGTGTCGCGTTCAATCGTCACCGGCCGCCAAAGTGTCATGGTACTGGAACGGCCGGCCTCTCGCAAACAACACGGCGTTTGGACCGTTCCAACGGGTGTTCATGACCGACGACCAGACGACCACCAGCGGAGGTACCGGCCACAGTTCGCTGTTGCTCACTAACGTTCAGCCATCTGACTCGGGACAGTTCCTGTGCGTGGCCGAAAACCGGGCCGGTCGAGCTGAGGCTAACTTTACGCTGGTTGTCAGTCGTCTCGGTGGTCTCGCGTTCCTGGCCAACGGTCAGGTGGCCGGCCTTAGCGTGTTTCTGGTGTTTCTCATCGTCACCATACTGCTGGTAATTGTTTACCTACTAGTCCGAATCAAGCGGCTGCCGCCCTCGTCCACCAGGTCTGACGGCAAACCGCACCATCTGGTTACCACCGCAACGTCGGCGATCAGTAACGGTACGGCTGCCGTAGTTGTGCAGGTCAAGCAGCCTGCGTCTGGCCCTGCCACAGGCCCGGCCACTACCACGGTCGTGTCGTCCWTGGCGGTTGGTGGGTCGTACGGGGGACTCAGCACTGCGTTTGACCACGCGACGGCCGCGGATCCCATGGTCGGCGGGATCAGGAGACCCGCGAAGCTCTCGGAACTGTCGTTTGCCACCGACCACTACGGGGCAACTGGTTTCGGCCACAGCAGCGTGCTGGACCCCGGCCGGACTGTGCTATATCAGAGCCAGCCGTCCAATCCAGACCTGATAGTGGACGCGTCCGAACAGCAATCACCTCAGTCTCAGCCACCGGACGCCGTACACTCTCAGCACCATCAGGAGGCCAGGAGGTCGGCGAGTGGTGAGTACAGGAGGACGGCTGACGATTCGCTCTACTCACCCGGTTTTTGGGCATCGTCAGACGCGACGGCCAATGACCGAACGCCGATCATAGAGAAGTCACCGCCGCTGCCCGCACAATTGGCGGCGGCCACCTTCAACGCCAGAGAAACGGTGATGGTGGCAGCGCCGCCGGATCCGAAGGCTGCTAGTCTCAGGGTGTGGAAACACGGGGTCCAGGTGATGCCACCGCTGAGTGCGCTCAAACGGGCACTGAACAAAGGGTCACCGGACGAAGGATACCAGGAAGGATGCGGAACCGATGTTTGATCTCGACCGACGCTCTTAAGTAAAATATACAATTCGTGTTTTTTTTTTTAAATTTTTTTTTTTGATCTGTTTTTGTTTTTTTCGGGTACGGTTTTCTTTTATATTTTTTGTTCAGCTGTGTAGACTCACCGCCGTAGTAAATATTATTAATTTATTTAACTCACCGTATAAGTCTTATACTATAAGATGCATATTTTAGTTGGTATTTTTATTACGACATACAAACTTCTCCAACGGGGCGGTCCGGTCCAAAAATTGTACTTATTCGCATCGAACATTGTTTTGTAACCTACAATAATAGATTTACTATACTATAATATACTACTTGAATACTTACAGAAATACGACAATTACTTATACTACATAAGTGAGCTGTATTTTAAATACAGATTGTTTTAAACAGGTGAACCAATACACAAAACCATTCCCTGCTCTATCAAAACCATAATTATTTCAGTGTCTCTTCTATAGTCGTAACGATCAAGTAATTGATTATGACGTTTAATTTTAATCTTTGCTTAAACATGCAATAATACGCAAAAAATTATTTATAAACTACAATTAATTATAATCAAACATAACAATAAACATGTTGCACAGCAAAAAATCAAAACTTGTCTAAAATTATAACTGTATATTATGTATATTTATGATTCACTATTTTTAAAAAACATTACTACTTTTATACTCAAAATAAAATCTAATTTATAATTTAACAAAACTTTATTATAATTAATCGTTTAAATATTACACGTCATGTTGTGATAAAATAACGTTATATAATCGCCATACAATAACAATACTCATTAATCATTGGATTATTTTTTTTTAGTCGGTTTGAGAATCATGTTAGGAAACAATTCCCTCGTGAACCCTATGTTACTTAAACTATACTTTTATTGCTTCAATGACGAACCCTTACTTCTAATGCGCTTCATCCCCCATAGTTTTCGCGCCGTGTTTCTCTCTCGGTGGTAATCTTGCGTGGATCGCGATCGAATTTACGACCGTCAAGCACTTTGTATTATGAAATTATACTATAGCGCCATAGCGGTACCTTTGGTTTTACGACTCACCAGTGTGTTGAGAATGCTTCTCGCTCAACAAACATTTCCGTGTCTAAAATATAACAACATATATGATTTGAACACGATATCACAACGAGGCCATATTACAGAGTTGTCGAAATATTTTTGGTACAAACATTATATCTGATAAATGTGGCTACAAATATTATTGTGTTCGGATCTCACAGTATTTTTGATAAATTTGGACGACAAAGTTTTAAGAACGATCAAAACAAAAACATCAGAACTTATCGTTATAAAAAAAAATTTGCGTGTAAGGTGACACGTGCATATTTTGATAATCCGTAGGTAACGGGCTTATAACATTTCTTTTTACAAATATATAACCTACTTATGTAACTTTTTTAAAATTGAACTTGTTATAATGCATTAGTATTTTATATATCTAATCAATGTTATTCTTCGATGAAATCGTATTTTACTTAAATTGAATGATTCATCATTCTTTTTCCACTCAATGTTTTTGAAATTTACTATTAACTGCAGACATTTGTACCCACAGTTCTTATTCCAGTTATTACACTATCGTCTGATCCGTATTAGTCTACAGTTGAGTTTGTATAACGCAGAATCAGGAATAAAATTGTATGAAAATACTTTTCACGTACCTAATCTAGACTTTATATCATGATTGGAGAACCGATCGCAGAGCATACATAATAGGCGCTATTCATCCGTTCGTTTAAATCGTGTTAAACGGTTTTCAAATAGAAAGAAAATAAATCCGCGACCGTCTATACAGTAATGTGGCCGACAATAATAATGTATTATATTACTGTATTAATCTAAAAATTCAAAGAAAAACGCTAGATGATAGTGTATTATCAAAATATACGCTTTTAGTTCTTAAGGGTTTTTTTTTATTTTATGATACATTTTAGTTGAATAATACGGATACCCTAATAACTTTTATCGAAACTTTTGGAAGACGAAAATACATGTGATGGGTAATATAGGTACCTAAATCAATATGCGAGCAACTCACTCGATCCGTCAGTATGAAATCTTATACCAACCTGATGGTTCTTGCCCGATGTTTTACTAAACACTATAATATAATTATATTATGATCTCATGTTTAAAAATATTTGATTTTTGAGATGGCCTGCAAATTTCAGCCTATCGTTTAAAATTTCGTTCAAGGGTTTCGGCATGAATCGTCTGACCTATAGAGAATATATTATGATTTCTGTTTTTACTCGATATCGAGACATAAATTTACGTACCCAAAAAGTTTTCTGTGACGGGACACAGTTGTAATGGAATTTAATTCTCGACGGACCACTGAAGTGGCCACAGCAGACGAGACCGTTTTTTTTTTGTTTTTAAGAAAACTGCAAACAAAACTATAATTGCTGTAAAAACCAAGCAAAATTCGTCGAACGAAATCAAACAAATGAATATTGTAACGTAATATGTTATCGTTGTAAGGTATTATTTAAAAAAAAAAGACTATTATATATTATATAATATATACCTTTTATTAGTTATTGTGCCAAAGCTTGTGTGCGCACTTAACCTATCCGCGCACAGAGTAAAATAGAGTATGAATTACGTTTTCGCGAATGTTTGAGTTCATTATTATTAATATTTTAATTTTTTCTTGTCGGTCTTTCTCTCTCTCTCTATCTCCCTCTTTTGTGCAGTGGTTACATTATTATTCTCACTTTTCCTCGACGGCAGCTCGCTGTATCAAAGACTCGAATCTACTTTTTTTACTAACTACCACCCATATTATACTTTTCCTTTTTCATAATTTCTTCACAAAGGTTTTTTTTAGTTTTAACATTTTTTTTTTTATTTTGCACTCCGAATACGATGCGGGCAATGGTCCAAAAAAAATCCTCTCACTCCACCCGCCTGATAAGTATACGCGAACTATCGATACGCAAGCGAACGTACGTTGTAATCAATTTTAGTATAGGACTTTTGAGAGATAGATATGGAATGAGAGAGAGAGAGCAATAGACACCTCCCTTTGTAGGATATTTGATAGTGGAAAACGCCCTCGAAACCGCAAGCGTTATTTTTTGACACCTGCAATCATATTATATACCTATCATACAATAGTCGTATATGGACACGCGTCTATCGTTTTGTTTTTTTTTTTTTTTTTTTTTTTGTGTCCTTACTTTTATTCGAGCGAGTATATAGTGCGACTGGGGGAAACACACATGCACACACAGTTTTCTCAAGTACTTAACGTCTTTTTTTGTTATCGCAACATACATTTTGAATGTCTTCTCTTCCCGCCGTATCTTACCTGTATTATATATTATACGTTCCGCACCTCCGTAGCTACGCACACGGAGCAGAACATCACATGGATGTGCGGTATAGGCGCATCTCTTTGTCGTGGCCAAGAAAAACGAAAATAAAAAACCAACTAAAGAAAGAAACCGGCAATATAATCCCGCTCATCTTTTCATTCGCCCAAACGGTTTTTTTCCACTATTTATTATTATTTTTTTTTTCAATGTTTCGCAAACGCAATGCCGCCACGCGCAAAACGTTTTTAAATTATAGCCACCCCCGTGTACCGTATATATTGCCCTCAGGGCTCTTTTTTATATCTCAAAGTTTTTTTTTCACCGCTGTGTACCAATAATATGAGTGCACGCGATGTCATATACCATAATAATATTATAATATGCACGGCGGCCAGTCGAAACCACCGTCACCAACCATGTCCTGTAATTCAGTATGTTTGTCGTTGTGTGTAATATCACCATAATAATATACGTTTATGATGAAATCATATACCTATGCGGCGTGTGTGTGTGTCGGGTGATGCCTACACGTCCGTAAAAACGCGATACGTTTAACAGCAATATTATCATAGTGCACGTAACGTCCACACAGCTCGATCGAGCCCGTAGGTATTATTAGGACGTACTGTGTTCTCTAATTAAATCTATATATACTTATAGGTTTATAGATCTATGAGATCTACCAGAGTAAAACCAAGTGACTTAGGTCCACGTAAGATCACCAATGCCGTAGACCACTCATGTGAACCGACCGTCCAACCACCCAACCACAATAAGATAACTACCTACCTATAACTTCTACATTCGTATAATCTCGAGCATGAAGATTTTTACTGTTATTTTTTTTTACATAGTATAATATTACATATTAACTTTTTTTTTTTTTTTTAATTTTTTTTTTATTTAAACCAACGGTACGAAAACCACGCGACCGGTCGCAAAGTTTCCGCCAGTGCAGAGGGAACTGAACTTGTATCCCCTTATAAGCCCTAAATGTTCTCGGTGAGCGTACCTAGGTATATTATATTATATAGGTATAATAATATTATATATTATTATAACACAATACCGACATGTAATCAAATTATGTTGCTATATATTATAATATACTTAGGTATTATTATACTTGTTCGTTTGATTATAATATTATAATACCAGGTATAACATGTATAACATGTATTGTAATATACGTATTTWTGATATAATATAACCTAAATAATAATAATAATAATAATATCAGGTACTTTCGTGTATAAACGATTTTAAAGGGTTTCCAAAGCCACTACAGCGTACGCTCCACATAACCCAATGGTGCATTAAAACTTTGCGGCCGTTCGGCTCCGTTTTATTTTTTTATTTAGTGATATTTACTACGACGAATTTTAATTTATCGTATATTGGCACACACAGTTCCTGTCKTATATATATATATAATAGTTATATGATATTATATATAGATTGATATTCAAACGATAATAATATTATATATATTTTATTGTTTGCATGTATCCTACATTCCTACTTAAGACCCAACTTATGTTTAATAATATGTGTTGTTTTGTTATGTACTGGTTTAACTGTACGCGAAACATAGTTTATACGGTTTTGTTTTTGTTTTGGTCTTTTTTTAGTTTGTAAAATTCTTCTAGCATATAATATATATATATATATATATATATATATATATTATACAGAAAAAAAAATCGACCGGTTATTATAATATCGCAATGCACTTGCCAAAGACGTCGTATTTTATTTTTGTATTAAATGATAATATTTTACCATGTTTTAAGTTTAATATAAAAAATAAATATATATATTACTATGTGTATTATGTACAGATTTTTTTTTTAAATTATATATTGTGTAAATTTTGTTTGGCTATAACTCTAAATAATAAATATTAACAATGATAATGATAATATATTATAATACTGGTTGAATGAATAATATAATAAAATATATAATTAATTGTATACCAATTTATATTTAAATGGAATATTGTGATATTGTATTATTAAAATATATATATATATATATATATATGTTATACATATAATATATATATGAATATGACTTATTATATATTTACTGTCGATTTGGTTGAATATAACTCATTGCTGATACTATTAAAACTTATTTTGTGATATTCTATTTTTAATTGTTCGCGCCATTAAGACATGCACAAAAATAACTATTTTGCGCTGTCTTGAATCATCTTAACGCTGGCATACTCAAATCTTATTGCTTACGATAAATTAACTGAAACGAAATGGGAATTATAGTAACAATAATTATATACTCGTCATCACTATTCACTATTGCTGTCGATGACGTGAAATCGATAATCATGTTATCGTCTTCTATTAATAATATACTTCACTGAATTGGTGAATGGGGACTCAAGGGATTTAGTCCCCTTTTCCAAAAGTACGTCAAAATGTCGAATATCCCCAAATCAAAACCTCATCGTCGAGTAGGTACTTTTTATCATCGTGCATATCAGCGGTTTTTTTAAAATCAAGCCAACAGTTATCTCACGAAAATATAAAAACTAACTAACAATTTTACTTTCGTGATATTGTATTTTTCTGACAAGCAGTTCAACATGGAAAACTATAAGCACGCAGAGAAAAGAGTCTAAGGTAAACAATAGCAACGGCGAATTTGTTGGTTTTTTCACACAAAATGTGTTGCCTATTGAGCTTAAATAATAAAATTTAATACTATTTTTCGTTTATAAAAATATTATATAGAGGAGAGGTGGTCACCTCTCACGTGGTCACTGTTTTTTTTTTTTTTTTTTATGTTAAATATATTAGGGGACATAAGCCCCTAGTAATTATTCGGTTATTTGCGTATGTAATAGATACCTATTATATTTATTATTATTATTATTCCCTATACACATCACTGAATGCCTAATGAGTGCGTGTGGGTATGTGTAAGTTGTCGTGGGCGTGTGTGCTCATTGTTTAAACACTGGGCCCCGTGCAYTTCGCCGTTGGTTAATGTTTCTGGCAAACAGGGAAACGGTTATTGAACGCGCGGAAAATCAGTTTTCCCCGCAAAACAATATTACCCCGTTACAGTTCTTTTATTTGTCAAACACATTTTCGCGAACCCCAACGGACCAATAATATGTTAAGCTCACACACRCCACACGCACTCGCACTAGTGACAGTAACTCGCTAAGTGGTCCAATGAGCGTCGTAATCACGCGCATACGCGCTCTCGTATGTGTCTGTGATGTATTATTGGCAACGCCATTGGAGTCGTCACCGTGTGTGCCAGTGTATCGGAAACCGTTAACCACGACCGCAAACTCAAACATAATAATAATATTAATTACTAAAAAAATAACACGTGCGAATAAAATGTAAATATTAATTTTTTTTTTTTCATTTAGACATTAACAAATATATATGTACAATATAACATAGGTACATAATATAATATGTCATTCAATTAAGTATTCGACGAGATGGCGCATTCATTTGGACGACACCAATCGTGGTTCACCGCAACCGCAATCTTTGTTAATAATAATATATACATATATATAATTATATATATTATATTGGTCGTCGTAACAAATATTAATGTCGAATTGATTTTACGACGATGACAGGTCACGACGAGGGGGCAGAGAGGTTCTTTCGAACATGGTTTATTTTCAAAATTTAACCCACTAGACCCACTGTGGTTACGCTTAACTAAAGCGATAACCGTGATGCGTGTCGGTTGTAGTCCTATCGGCTCATTTTGAACTTTGGTTTTCTAGGATTCATAGGCCACTGCAGAATTTTAGGTATGCCCTTGTGTTTATTGCAAGCTCAAAATCGAATAAATATATAATATTGTGAAGTGATCACTGACGACACTATAGAATAGTAAAACGTCACTCACCACCATGATTATTCATATTAATGTATTATATATTATATTATGCCATGCAAGAGTGATAAACGGGTGAGTATCGAAAYAGTCGATCGTATTTTATAATCTATTAGTATAWAAGTACTTCACTCAATATCGTGATGTTATGAACAATTATAATCATTAGTATATTTTATTAGTATTGTATTATATTTTACGATTACTATGCCGTTCGAGAATGATGGACGGGTGAGCATCGAAACGGCCAATCGTTATTCTATGTTTATTTAACATGCTGTAGTCGACGACTAAGAAATAAACACAGTAGTATAATATGTTATTTATATATTTTTAGTCCTCAATATGTTTATACCACGATGGATCGTTTCGGCGTTTGCGTCCATAATACTATTATAATATTTTACGATCGGCTTTGACGAACWAAGATCTATACGTCGCGTCGTGGCGATGGTATAATGTTTTTTTTTTTTTTCGAAATGTGGGACGGTAACGTAATTACGCTTAATTAGTTATTTTTATTTACGTCAAACCTGCCGAAATATAATAATATACCTACATATGGAACATGAAACCTAAACGTATTGTTAATTGAAAACAACGAAACTTATTATTTATAAGAGTATTGGTAGTTATTGTTGCTATAAATCGACCATTCGAAGGCATTGTTCTAAACTTCGGTACTGTAAGTGCAGCACAGCGTTACTTATTAGCTATTATAATAATATTATTTTTGGCAACCCGGTTTCGAAATAATCGCCTTCACAGGCCGGCTTCGATGTGATATTATATAATATTACCAATATTATACCCGTCATGGGTCGTGCTGTTTCAAGCCGCTTACCATTATCCGAGACGTATTTGCCGGGGAAAATGTTTATTAAACAATAACAGTAAAAAAAAAAACAAACAAACAAATTAAAACTCCGTGGTTTATTTAAAAAGTATTTGGCGTGGGGACACTTAATATTCTCTACGAAAAGAAAATCAATATTTTTTAATATAAAAGCATACTGCCAAAAACGCCAAGCGACCCGGCTGAGAATTTCTAAGAGCTAAAAAAKCCACCACTCTGCTGACCCACAACGTTGCGAGTTTCAAACACTTTTTCAAGTAATTTTGCTTACATTATTTAATAGTAAAAACAACTTTGAGCGATAATAAAAATAAAAAAATCATACTTTAAAAACGATTTCACATTTGCTATAACCGATTACCCGATAATATTATGTTCTATATTATGTATGTTATAAATGATACCAGGCACGGATCTAGAGGTTTGAATTAATCGAGGAGAATTAACTTTTAAGTAAGATTATAATCATACTATTGCAACACAATAGCAAATAGTCACAAAATAAAATTGTATTTACATTTCACATGTATGGATTTAAATACACATGAAATATTTATTTTAAAACCAAATACATAATGTGTACCATTTCCAAAAAGTGAGAGAGGGTTAAGCTCCTTAGCTCCTCTTCCCTGTATCGACGCTTGAGGTTACACATCAAATTATATTTTATTTTAATACTTAAATAAGTTATTATTATAATGGTGGATGAGATTCATGTGTTATAACTTACCAACGTAGAATCCAAAACAATATTATGACATCATTGATCTAGAAACGAAAGTATTCCGTATACAGACTTTGTGCGCCTTAACTTTTGTGCCAAAACTTTTGGCACATAGTCGTAATAATAATAATAATATATAATACTATATTATGGCATCACAAATTGTGTTATGACCGACACGTCGTGTCAAAGAGGATAAAACAAACTAACTCAGAAATGGTAATATAATATATTATTACAATATATAATATTATATTTCATAGAAATCATACGCGGAGTATAATACTATGTAATATGGAAGTATAAAATTACTGTCTGTCGGGTGAATTCGATGGTAAGTTTTTTTTTAATTTTCAAATTGATTTTTCTCCATTTTTTCTGTCATTCACGTCTTTGATCTTTCATTAATATTATATATTTATATTCATTACCCACTAATAATGTTGTACCTAAGTCATTCTATGTCAATGTGCGGATTTTCCATTTATTGTCTTCCTCTTCTGTTCAAAATTAATTTTAGCAAGCTTTTCTGTTGTATCCTTATTTCCGATATTATTAATTTATTTAGGATACTTCTCCATTGGTATTATTCTCTAGTCATAGATTCTTTCTAACGTAGTTTTGCAACACAATGACATGAATGAATAGCTCCGACATTGTATTTCGTTCTTCTTCTTCTTATTCTAA